TTTCTGTATTCCTTAGCTGATTTGGTGGTTATGTTACTTGTATTGGAAACAGATAAGAGTTAATGTCTGGAAGAGATCTCAGAAATGTTGTATTCCTTCATCCCAGTTATTCAGAAGAGGAAGAGAAAGCCAGGAGAGGCTAGATGACTTCCTCACAGTCACACAGCTCTCCAGTTGCTGAAAATGAGAACCCACCCACCCTCACGCCAGTCTTGGCGGCAGGGTCAGAAACACAAGCTCAGCTCGATCTCTCACTCTCCTAGTCGCCTGCAGCTGGGAGCTCTTGGCTTGGTCTTGGTTAGGAGGGAACTATGTCCTTGACAAGCACTGGAAAACTATCAAGACATTTTTTTAGGAGGCTGTTGGTTGTAATCTGATCAAGGCCTTTCTTTCTGTGACTCTTGCTGGGATCAAGAGGTGGCTTTGATAAGAGCCTATTTTTGTTTTTATTAATTTTTGCTATAGGGCCCATGGGCCCTTCAGAGGGACACAGAGAGAGGGAAAGTAAGGAAGCAGAAGCTTTTCTTTCTAATAGATTTTATTTCCATGTTTGGCCTAGGCCCCTGCCTGGAAGTTAATGTGGCTGGACAGATGAGAGATGTATTGCTAAACCAAATTATGAAATAATGTTTCAAATATTCAAGACCAGTCTTCCCAAAGTGGTGACACATCCTGTTAAAATAGCTCTGTCATCTTTCCATTTAGGTCACCTGTATAATTGGAGCTGAGTGCTTTCACACCAGGGTCTTTTTGATTAATGGCTTTTAAATCATTTCCCCGATTGGGTGATTGAGTACATGAGCTAGACCTCAAAGCATCAGTTATGACTTCTAACCTCTGGCCCTGTCCTCCTCGCTGCCATTTCATACCCCCCACCACCAGCAAAAAAAGACAAGTCACTGTCATTAGTTTCTTGTTAACTCTTTCGGAATTTTTTCATCACATCCAAACGTCATCTTACACATGTTTCCTCTCCACTTTACAATAGCTGTAGCATTCTGTACACTGGTTCACTTGCTATTGAAGAGAGAGAGAGAGAGTTTGCTAGAGAGAGGCAGAGGGAAAGTGAGTGAACACCTCCTATCGGGAATGGTCACACCTCAGTCCCTTCTCTGTTTCTCCCTCCTTTGGGAATTTTTGGGGCACATGTACCTGCCGTGGGTCCAGGACTCAAAAAACTCACAGTTGGCCATGTGGGATTCAGCTACCTCAACCACCAGAAGCTGGCCCAGAGAGCATGTTTTAAATTTAAATGGGATTGGGCCTGTCAGATGTCTAAATAGGCCACTGGAGGCAGTACAGGGAATACATTGTGTGTCAGTCCTCTGTAAGCTACTTTATTGGTCACTGGGTCATGCTCAGCCTAAAACGGTAGGTAAGGGTCATGCATTCCTCAGCATCTGGAGGGAGGTTGCTGGTTAGTCTGCAATGGCCTGATTTCCACCAGGCACCCAGCCTGTGCTGAATAGAATGCATTGTGTGTAAACTCATTTCCTTCCTCTCAACGCTTGTGTTCACTTGTCATTTCTTTTCTTATTTATTGCCCATATTGGTACATTTTTGGTTTTCCAAGTAGATTTGTTTCTGTTTTTTCCTTATTCTGGAAGTAATCATATCAATTATTGTGGTTATGTTAAGTTACCTTGAAATATTAGCATAGATAAAACTGAAGAAGCCACTTAAGGCCTCTAAGACTAAATTTTAAATCTATAAATTATCTGTGTGGTTTAATTATTCTAACTACCATGAGTACTCTTGGCCTTTGTGTTGAGCAATAAAATAGGCATGAGGACTCCCTTTTCTCTTACTAGTTATTTAGTTCCAAGCTTAGGATCTTTTGCGTGGTCTGCCACAAGGTTGCTTTTAATTGTTTTCTTGTTTCCTCTCTGAGAGTATCACCTACAAGCATCTCTCAGTATTTTCAAACCCCATTGTCTGTTTTAGTTCATTCTCAACTTTTCACGTCACTTATTGTGAATTTCCTTTTTAAGACATGTTCTTGTTTTTATTATTTTATATAGCATATAGTAGTTAGATGTTTTTTTTTTTTTTGGAGAGGTTTTCACCATAGGGCACGTGCACTTGCCAGACAGACAGAGAGAGACATAGAGACAGAAAGCGAGAAATCACCCCCCCAGCGGGGATGGTCACCACCAATCCCTTCTCCTCCATTCTCATCTCGGGATCTTGGGCACACACGCACACGCGCCCGGCATGAGTTTTAAGCCACTGGGTCTGGGATGCCAACTGCAGTCGACTATGTGGGAGTCCAGCAACATAGCCATTACGCCAACTGCTGGTTCCCAGTAGTAGTTAGAGGATTAATACAGAAAAAGAAAATGGAGCAGCAGTTGATTCCAGTACATCTAGCCATTAGACCGAGTGTGCTCCCGCCTCCTAGAGACCTGGAAGGAGAAGCGAGCAAGTTCTTAGACTAGTCTCTTCAGGACTATAGGGTCTAATATTGCTTCCTGCCTTCTTGAGTATACTTTGGTTTGGAGCAGGTGGTTTTACCAGGTCGTGAAGCCCTCCTTCCCATTAAGGTTGTGGAATCATAGTGCATTTATGATAATGTCTATGGTTGAACCTTTTGTTTGTTTCTTCCTTTCCTCTTTTTTTTGTTTTCGGTTATTGTTTTTTGCCATTGGACATCTGTGCTTGCTAGAGACAGAGAATGGGAGCAAGAAAGAGAAAACAAAAAATCACCCCTCGGGTGGGAGGGCCATGCTGTAACCCCTTTTCTGTTCTCCTCTCAGTTTAGAGCATACACGTACATGTACTCAGTGTGATTCTCAAACTGCCAGATCCGGGAACTCGAACCATGGTTGACTTTGTGGAAGTTCAGCACCTTAACTGTCACGCCTTTTGCTGGCTCCAGTTCCTCTTTTTATATTCCAATCTTACCTACGTGTGATTTACCCTCGTTGCTCAGGTATCTCTGTGTAATACATGTTGGCTGTTTGTTCTTAAACTAAGTAGATCAGAAGATGGCTATGGGCAGGGCTTCATGGTGAGAGGTGACAGGCTTTTTTGTGTTCTAAAGCCAATAGTAAGCACTCCTTGACTGTGTGGGTTTTAAAATAAAGTATTTTCTTTCTTTGTTTGAGAGCAGTCACGTAGATCTATGACTGCATGGTTTAACAGGAAGAAAATGTATTCATTAAATTCCTGTACCTGTCACTTTTTCCTACTAGCAATGGGATCTTAAGTTTTCTTGGTATATTCTGGGAACAGCCCTTGCTTGCACAGCTTAGGACGTTTTGGTAAAATCATATAGGATCCTGTGTGTGAGATATTGTGAAGATACTCAGCACTGCACTGTGTCCTTTTTTTTTTTTAAAGAATAATTAATTTTATTGATTGATTGGTTGACTTTAATTTGCTATAGGGAATTTGCGTTCATTGGAGAGGGGGAAAGTGAAAAAGCAAACCTCCAGGACTCAAACCACAGTCGGCCATGTGGGAGCCCAGTACCTTAACCAGTATGCCATCTGTATTTATGTTCTAAGGAGTACAAAGGTGCTCTTATTTGTGCTTTGAAGAAACGTCAGCCATGTGTCTAAGAACTTTTTTCCTTTTTTCAAGAACAAGATATTTACAGCAATATGAAACTGTTAAAAGAACATGTGGTTAGTTAATTGTTTCTTAACTGTCCTAAAGTTGACTATTTCATGATCTTGCCTCGGGAAACAACCAAGGTCATAATCTATCCTCCTCGTAAGAAGGTGAACAGGTGACTTTTAATAGAAGATAGTCTTGGGACCAGCAGATGGCGTAAAGATTGTGTGACTGGACTCCCACATAGTCGACCACAGTTCAAGTCCTTGACCTGGCGTCTTAAAACTCATACCAAGTGCATGTGCGTGCAAGCCCAAAATCCTGGGAGGGGATTGCAAAAGGGATTGTGGCATGGCCATCCCTACTGGTGGGTGATTTTTCGCTTTCTGACTCTCTCTCTCTCTCTCTGTCTCTCTGGTGAGTGCATGTACCCTATAGCAAAAATCTAAAAAAAAAGAAGATAGTCTTTATTTGAAATTCAGACAACTGAACTAGGAGATAACTTAAGTTGTAGCTGGGTTTTCCCTTTTATTCTATGAATACTGGTTTCATTGAGCAAACTCTTATGTAACATGTTGCTTGTTTCACGCTGAGTAGTATTGTGGGTGATGGTCAGTAATAGCATGTGTGGTCCTCCCGCCTGCCCTTTGAGGAGGGTGTGGCTGTTAGCCTTGTTTGACAGGTGAAGGCCCACATAGACTCAAGGCAGCTTCTGTCTTGTCCGGATACATCCCCAGAGATGGGGAGCCCAGATGACCACCCCCGGCCTCGGTTTGAGGGCCGTGATGACATGGTAGCCAGGCTCCATGCACATCCGCCACCCCTCAGATGGTCACGCACAGAGAAGACATGGCATTGGTAGGTGAGGAACTTTGCCTCCTGCTTGCCACCTTCCCCTCCATCGCACAGTCACATCAGGAGAAACAAGTTCTGCAGATACTTGTGTTTACCTGTCACAAAACTTGCTTAGCAAGGCTGACATCAGCCAGAACCCAACATCTAGATAAAAGGAAAAGGCCAGTCCTTTCGAAACTTTTGGGGCCACTGAGCAAGAACCAATAAGTCGTTTCTATTTTTAGCATCGTCTTCTCACTTAACAGCAGCTATATGTGTTGGGTTGTCAGAAAAGTCATGCATTTTTGCATTAAAAAAAACCCAGAAAAATACTTTGTGACTTTTCCAACAATCCAATAACAGTTCTGTGACATCTTTTAAGAAGCTTAAATAATGGATCAACAGGTAGCATGACGTTTAAGGCATTGGACTCCCACATGACCGACCTCAGTTTGAGTCCCATACCTGGCTGCTTGAAGAATCACACGTTAAGTGTGAGTGTGTGCCCAAACTCCTGGGAGAAGAATGGAGAGGGGATTGCATCGTGGCCATCCCCCCAGGGATAACTTCTCACTTTCCCTCTCTCTGTTTCCCTTAAGGGGGCACACATACCATATGTAATACCTTAAAAAAAATTAAAAAAAGCAACAGCTTAAATAAGCAAGGGCCCTGCCAGGCCATCACTCGAGAGTGGCCAGTTCCCTGCCAGTGCCCCTGCGGAGGGCGTGGCTGTTAGCCTTGTTTGACAGGGGAAGGGCCACATAGACTCAAGGCAGCTTCTGTCTTGTCCGGATACATCCCCAGAGATGGGGAGCCCAGATGACCACCCCCGGCCTCGGTTTGAGGGCCGTGATGACATGGTAGCCAGGCTCCATCTCAGGTCCTGGTGCTAGGCAAGCATGAGCAGTTGCCGCAGGTTCCAAGATGTACAGGCCTTCTGTGGAACCTCTCTCCCTGGCCTCTTCTCCACCACCTTGGCTCCCAGCAGTGAGTTAGTAAGAGTAGTGCTTCAGTTCTGTTTCATGCACATCCGCCACCCCTCAGACGGTCACGCACAGAGAAGACATGGCATTGGTAGGTGAGGGACTTTGCCTCCTGCTTGCCACCTTCCCCTCCATCGCACAGTCACATCAGGAGAAACAAGTTCTGCAGATACTTGTGTTTACCTGTCACAAAACTTGCTTAGCAAGGCTGACATCAGCCAGAACCCAACATCTAGATAAAAGGAAAAGGCCAGTCCTTTCGAAACTTTTGGG